CGCCAAGGACCCTGCCCTCGACTACCACCCGTCACACACTGCACCTGACCCCTTTGATCCCTCCCACGAGTGGTGAGCCCATGGGAAGGGGGACACACGTTTCCTCTTCGGGCTGTGCCCGGCCGGGCTCCATGGGTGAAAGCCCAGCCACCAGGCGCTCGCCAACGTGCCCCACCTCCAGGCCTTGCTCCAGAGGGGTGCCCCGGTGACCCACGTCCGGCCGAGGGAACATGGTTTCCATTTATATAATTCATCATAAGAGGTCTTCGGGCTGCTCTTTGTCTGATCCCTCACCTAGGACCAAGTTTGCCATGAGGCAGAAAGCATCAGACAACTTAGCTCCTAGGATCATTGAGACAAGAGATTCACACACTTCTTGTGTTTTGATGTTGACCCAGGTGTCATCCACATATCTGTACCAGTGGCTGGGTGCTCTCCCTTTAAAAGAGCCAAGAGCCTTTCACCTATGTAGCCTTACACCTATGTAGCCGGTGTATCAGAGAAACTCAGGAGGGGTTTCTCCAAACACAACAAACCAGTGTACTTCAGACCCAGCAACACACTCAGACAGAAACTGGTTCACCCGAAAGACAAAACTCCTAAACACAAACTGAACAATGTGGTGTGTGCTGTACAGTGCAGTGAGGAATGCCCAGACCTCTACATCGGAGAAACCAAACAGCCACTTCACAAGCGCATGGTACAACATAGAAGAGCCACCTCCACGGGACAGGACTCAGCAGTTCATTTGCATCTAAAGGACAAATGTCACTCTTTCGAGGATGCCAACGTTCACATTTTGGACAGGGAGGACAGATGGTTTGAAAGAGGAGTAAAGGAAGCCATTCATGTCCACTGTGAGCAACCATCTTTGAACAGAGGCGGTGGTTTACAACTGTTAAGTGTTATGTTCTGATGTGTGTTTATGTGTATATGTCGGGTTTGTTCTTTTTATAGGCATGGAAAAACGGAAGTGACGTGTGTGTGTAACCTTTGACCTGTGACATTAGTAAATAAAAGCGAGCTCCTGGCGAAAGATGGGTGTGTGAGCGGTACCCGGATGTAATGGACTGGCCGTCTGACGCCGAGCTCTAAAACGGTGAATCTTTTGAGTCTGTGTGAGTTTCATGAGTTAACCTCCATAGCTGCAACACTTACACTTCAACTTACGTCTTGATTTCGCTGTGTTAAAACGACATTGGCTAACAACAACACCAACTGTCTGCCATCTATAATCCAGTTTTGAGATCCCTTCCCAGATGCCTCAACGCCCACGCATATCCTGGGCCATCTGACCTCAGGAATTCACATGATAGGGTGGGGCCAGGCTTCACAATGAGCTCACCCGAAACTCTGGCTGAATAGGACCCACACCCACCCTCACACCTTGGCTCATGTGTTTATGTAGAAGATCGTCAGGGGGTCTTTTGTTCCCTCTTCGGGGGGAAACTCCCACTGGGTTTGAATCTGGGACTCTCCACCATTTGACCTTAGAACTGAAGAAGCCTCTTGGATGAGAGGTGAAACGTCTTCAAGCAACTCAAAGAAGCCCGGACGCTTTTCTTTCAAAGCTCCTTAGACTACAATGACCTGGATGACTGAGAACCTTCACAGACACATTGGCTTTAACAATCCACTCAAAACCAGAACTTTTAACTGTGGCCAGCAAAGATTCCTCATTAACCCTGCAGGCTGAAAGTTTCATAAAAGGATGAACAACTAAGTCCTTCAGTGGTACTTCTGAGTTAAAACATGCTCATGAAATATGTATGTGGAGTAACCAGACAGGTAGGTTTTAACATTGCAAGTCTGCAACGCTTGGCTCCAGAGGGTTAAGCAACTATTGCTTTGTTGTACTTATTAACTCCAACCAGTTTTAGAGGTTAATATGCTTGACTGTTGTTTTTAATTCACCAAAGACACTCTGGCCATGATGATTTAATATGCAGGGCTAATGTAGACATGTGTGCAGTGGTTGATCCAGGTTGGTGTTTGAGCTGGGGTGATGCTGGGGTCTGAGCATCCTTATTGGTGGTGAAGGTTCTCAATCATCCAGGTCAGAGGTCACGGTAATCCAAAGGATTCCAATGAAGGCAACTGGACGTCTTTGGTTTCTTGAAGACATGTTGCTTCTCATCCGAGGGGATCAGAATTGGCAAAGCTCCTCGGATGAGAACAAAACGTCTTCATTGGAACTCTTTGGATCGTCCTTATTGGTCCGATGCTGGGAGACCGCTCTAACAGGAACAGGGAGAGATGCGCTAAGTTTATTTTCCATTCATTACTGTTGTTAGCAAAACATATTATTATATTATTCACTTTATTTGATTAATATTTGATAATTTTAGCAAACTAAATAACTTTCTAAAGTTCTAAATATTACAATTTTTTAATTACACGAATTTAATGAATTAAAAGTAAGTTTTTTCGATTGTTCTAACTTTGCTCTGAACAAATATAAAGGTTATCAGTCGAATCTGCTCAAAATCCGCGTGAACACTATCAGCTGAAGGAGGCACGGCTGCACGTGATCAGGAAGCTCTGTGAAGCTTGATCAGCAGCACGTTCACTGAAAACTTTGGGCGCGCGCCAGGGCTACATGCGGACCGCGCAGTTCACAATGGCGGCGGACACTCCCATTGCGCGGTCACGTAGGATATTGTTCCAGTTTAGTTTTTAAACTTTGAATGAAACTTTTGGATATGCTTACATCTTACAAGCTGGTGTTGATTGTTTTATTCTGATTAAAATGCATCCTCCATCATTTGGTCCAGGGAGAAATCCGTTTTACTGTTTATTGTTCATGGGAAGCCTTCCTATGGGTGAATGTTTGACGCAGCTGAGCGTGGGCCCTGCCCCCATCCACCCCCAGCCCTTGTGTTCCGGAGAGAACATCACATTCAGCACGTCGCACACTTTGCTCACATTCACACAGTAAAGCATCTGTAGCGACAGCGGAAGTTGTGGAAGTTGTCTTTCAAAATAAAGCACACCATTGGAAAACCATGTGGCATTTTAGGATATAGCTGTGTAAAGGTCATCACTCGAGTTTTTGAGTCTCACAGGACGGCATCAATCTTCCAGTTGGTATATTCCCTACTTTTTGAGATGCTTTCTAATTCTGTGATTAGAAAATGCATAAAAACTTAAATGATGGTTAGCGACACATTTTAAGGATTTGTGTTGTATTCTGTCAACTTGTTCGTAAAAACATATTTATTATAAACAGCACAGGTTACTAAATGAATTTGATTATTTTTGGATTCTTGCTAAAATCTCCATCTTATTGTTGGGAAGAGTAGTCATACTTAAGTCCTTTAGAGCAAGGATGTATTTGTGTGCTCTTCGACAGTGTATGGCAGATTGCACTTTTGACCAAGATCCACAGTGGTGAGTACTTCACGTTGTTCGTTGTCCAATCGACCCTTTGCACCGACGTCACCTAATCACGTGGGTCCACCATGGTGGACGGCAAAAGCATGTAAACAGTGAGCGACACAAGTACTAAACAAAGGGAAAAGTAGAGCCTGAAATTGTTTTTGCGATCAAAACAAAAACAAAACTCCTCCAGCATTCCTTTAATTAGTTCATGTCCAGTTCAGTTATCAGAAGAAGTAGCACATCTAGCGGGGGCTCATAGAGAGCGGTATGTTAACTAGCTTACCAACATTAGCTTACATTCTCTCTGCAGCTGTTCACCAAACATGTTGCTGACTTTGCCTAAATTCACCCCTCTGGATTTATAACTTTATGTTGTAAACAGCGTTTCACTTTACACCAAAGCTGATTGTTAAAAAGTCCGGATCCCTACCAACTTCTGTTGCTGGTGGTGTTACCGGGTTGAGCTGCTGCTCTCACACCGGAATGAGAAGATCTCTGAATGGCGACACTCATATAAATAAGTAATGTCATTTTAACACACGTAATCATACATCGGAGCTTTAATATTGTTAATAATTGTCTCACTTTACACTACAGTGGACGGAGTGCAGCCTCTGTGGTGAAATACCCGTCCATCAGGATTATCAATAACTTTTATAAACACATCACATTTATCCCTGTCCCTGTCTTCCTCGAGAAATAAAAGAACCTTAATCTTACCCGGTAAAAACATGTTCGCTGCAAATCTGAGGCCTGCTAGTCTGCTTGATTGATCGCTGCAGTTCATCTCTGTCCTCACTGTCCATCAAAGTTATTTAAAAAAAAAGAGTTGAGTTTACATCCGTGTCTCTTAGTGCAGCCAACCACACAGCAAGTTAAAACCATTTTCCTGTCAAATCAACTAAATAAAAGTGATAAAAGGCTACAAACTGGCTTGTTTTGGCTAGCTTTGCTGGCGTTTCAACGGGTGTAAATGGTCTTTTTGCCGTCCATTATGGCGAAGGGGGCGGTCACATGAGTGGCGCGCAAAGGGTCAATAGCATGTAGAGATAGTTTGAAAAACAACCGTAGGTCCTGCCCTATGACTGAGCTCCATCTATGGGTCGTGGCCAGACTATTTAATGTATGTGATAACTTGCCAGGGTAGGCACCATCCCTCTGGAAGCCTAAATCAAAGTCAGAAGGTTTCAAAATGAAAATAAAACCAAGAACATTTTGTGGAAATCCTCTGGTTGGAGATTCACTTTCTTAAAAAAATATTTGACTTCAAATTACCTTCTGATGAGCAGTCATTTAACTTTAGTGCTTAAACAAATTTATTAAAGGACCTAGTATTTCTTTTAAATAATGAATCCATAAATAGTTACTATTTTTCTGAACCCGAACAACAGACTACCTGTTTCCACCGATTCTTACAGAGAATGTTTGCCTACATTGTTGTGACATTTGCATTTAGAACATACCATTTTAAGTATTGTATTGTAATTGTGTGAGGTAAATTTTAAAGCACCGTTTAATATAAGAATTATTTAGCAAATTGGATAACCTTGTCATTTTTAAATACGTGTGATTTATTTTGGAAATCCTTAGCGGAAGTGGTATGTGTACAGTTTTCCAGCTGGACAGCTTATGAACCCAAACACCAGCACGTCCGCTCAACTGTTCCGCAGAGAGCGGGCACGTCTTGGTCTGAGTCCTGTCGTTCCGGCTGAGCTTTAGCGGTCACCATGCCTTTTATCGAGCATATGTCCAACGCGGACCTGGAGCGGCTGGCGCTGGACCGGGTCGTGCCGGCCCTGCTGACCCACGGCTTCTGCTACGTGGACGGACTCCTCGGGGAGCCGGCCGGGAGCGCGGTGCTGGACCAGGTGAAGGAGATGCACCGTTCCGGAGAGTTGCAGGACGGCCGTCTGGCCGGCACCGTCCCGGGCATCAACAGGAAGAGCATCCGCGGGGATAAGATCGCGTGGGTGAGCGGCACCGAGCGGGGATGCGAGGCGATCAGCTTCCTGCTCGCCCTGGTGGATCGGCTCATCTCCGTGTGCGCCAGCCGCCTGGGTAATAAAGCCATCCGAGAGAGGTCCCAGGTAAGAGCTCCACCTGGATAAACTCCATGGAAACATTCCCGTCATTCCTGAAACCTAATCCAAAATATGTCTCACTGGGAGAACTTCAGCTTTCTCTTTTATCTTGTCACACCTGTAAGCTGTCCATACCTCAGGCTGGAGTAGAGCATGTGTTGATCATAATGAATTACCAAAAAACTACTCTACATAAACTTTTAACCAATCAGGAAATGTGTATTTTCATGGAATAAAATGTTTAATCCCAAGCTGTTCTTGACTTTTCCTGGTCTGTAAGTGTGTTGGACAGCCTCCACTCGTGTTTGTAAACAGCCCACACCTTTAGTCACATTTAACTTCCTTTCATTTTAATGTAACTGCGGCACCATCATCCTTTTGACAAAATCTGATTAAAAAATCTACATTTTGGTTTATTTTCTGATGCTTAGTTGTTGTTTTTTTAGCCTTTTGGAGAAAAAATTCATTACTTTTTCAAGTTTACTTTTCCCAAAGCGTTTCTCGGAGTCTAAAAATAACAACAATGGTAGAATTCAAATGAATGAACTAGTTTTACTTGTTTATGACATTAAAAAAAACGTTTTGACAGAAGAAAACTACACAATCTCGACTCTTAAAGACACTGGAACCAGGTTTCATTGATATTATGTGATCGATGGCCCCACCACCAACCAATTTTTAAACATTTTCAAAATGCTTTTTTCCCCTTATTTTTACAATTTTTATATATTTTGTTTTTGTGAAGCGCCTCGTGATTTTTATCTTGAGAGTCGCTATAGAAATGATGTTTTCTTCTTCTTCTTCTTCACCATTTTTAATTTATAAATTAGGATTAAAAAAAGATAAAGAAATAAAGTTTGTGATTAAAACGAAGGCTTGGTGCGTTTAAAACCTGGAAGAATGCACTTTCAGGTGAGAAAGCTCGATTCTTCCTGTTGCTGTGGGATTGGAATTATATCCCAAAATTATACATTTTATAAAAGGCATTCCTCTGAGGGTGTGTGTAATCTGTAATAATCTGGGTCAGGTTCACTTGAGAACGTGTCAACAGACTGTTCGTGACGGTTTTTTCCTGCGAGGAAACCCCAAGCCGTGCCATCTGATAAGCATCTGCTGCCCTCAGCTCAGCGGACACTTCCTGTTTAGGTGTGGAGTTGACAGCTAAGCAGTGAAAATGGGTTTCCTCCTCCTCATCCACTCACTTGTTATTGTAGACCCGGACGTAGCTCACAGGACCTCCAAGGATAATGGAACATAAAATGGCCCACGCACAGTCAAACCTGAGCCAGCATGTGTGCTGTTTGAGTCATGCAACCGAGGTCGTAGCCTTTTAACCGCAGGATACACCTCTGGTGATATTCACAGATCCTACTTCCTGTCAGCTGGGCTGACATCATTTATTTTACCCCAAATGTGGGTTTTACTGGACTTGTGTGTTGGGCGACAGGCACTGCACCTAAACGGGATAGCTGCTGATACAAAGATGGTCAACATTACGAGGAATTCTTTTACTGATCTGGAATTATCTTGGACCGTTTTGTAATTTCTGAGTGTTTTATACGGAGGTTTTAATCCCGTCTCACCTGAACAACTCTAAAACGAGTTTTGTTGCTGGCGGTGCCACTTCCTGCCTCTAAAGCCGAGCTTTGAGGGAACTTATTTCCCGATTTTTCTGGTAATCACTCCTGGAGTCAGCTGAGGTATATTTGAGAACCCCATCAGCAGACTAGTTTAGAGCCTTCGGGGTTCTCAGCTACGTGTGCAGGTTTGAGACTCTTATTGTGAAGGTTTGCAGGAAGTTTTGTGAACACTGCAAGCCTTCACCGTGTGATTGGTAAATCGAGCTGCTAATCATAAGTAACTTGGTTCAAAACAAACCCAGAACCCTTTGAGACACAAATGATAATCGTGACAAACGCCGTCAGAGGCGTTTGGCTAGTGCTAGCTTAGGTTTCTGATCATTAAAGGTTTTTTGTATCAACATATTATTACATATTACATTTAAGTACAAAAGCATTACAATGCCATTTAGTTTAGCTTAGCCCAGAAGGCGTCGTGAGCGCAGATGACCATACCACCCCAGGCAGCTTGGTTCTCACGCATTCAGAACGTTTGTCTCTAGCTGAAGGACACAGCCGTCTGGTCTGATGCACCTTCTCCCTGTGTGTTTACCTTTAGGCCATGGTGGCGTGTTACCCAGGAAACGGAGCAGGTTACGTCAAACACGTGGACAACCCGAACTGTGACGGACGCTGCCTCACCTGCATCTACTACCTCAACAAGAACTGGGACCCCAAGGTGCAGCTCACACCTCTGCCGCTGCGATGGCTGATTGTTGCAAGCATTACGTTACAAGCATTTCCCCACACGTCACATATTGTGTAAAAGCAACGATATTGCTTCTGTGCCTCAATAACTGTCCAAAGGCCAACCTGCACTCCTCCTGAAACACGTATGCAAACCGTAACAAGATGGAAGTAAAAAGTGATTGTTAGAATTGGCCCAGTTTTACGTATCAGACTGATGAGATACGTTAAAACAACCTTGGTCAATGACGATGTTATGCTGCTACATCCCTAGTTTTAGCGTTTCAACTAAACCTATTGTATGGCGCTTTAAAATGTGTAAGTTATTGAAAATCCCAAATAGTATTTTGGCATATAATTGTATGCAGAAGTACTCAAAGTGAGTGGGAGAATTGAAACCTTTGTGTTGGTCTTGGTAGGAGCATGGAGGAGTCCTGAGGATATTCCCAGAGGGGAAACCGTACATGGCTGACATAAAGCCGTTGTTCGACAGACTTCTGATCTTCTGGTCTGATCGGAGGAACCCACACGAGGTGCAGCCGTCTTATGCCACCAGGTAACTTTGGGATCCTAACTGTAAAACTGGGGATGTTGAATACTGCTGCTGTTCAGGTTTTCTACAGTTATTCATCTTCAAACTGGAAATATAAACAGCTCCCTAAATGTTTGGTACAACTGAGATGTTTTAAAGGTAGATGTGAATAATGTATCTTCTTCCTTCTGGTTTAAAGAGAAATTTCAGCTGCCTGCTGTAGCTAGCGCTAACAACGAGCTAATGCTAACACAAGCTAAGTGATACCATCACGCACAAAGTTAAAAAATGAACAAAAAAATATGTCTTACAACTCTAGTAACAACAAAGCCTGGTCACCATGATTTCGTAGCCTCCCTCCAACTAGTGTAGCCCACACGGATGTTCACTCTGGTTCTAGCTCTTTGCTTCATCTCCAAAGACATTACTCTTTCACTTCCAGACTCCGCCATGATGCCAACAAAAACAGCAAAATTCTTCCTTTTCGTTGTCTTGTACTTTTTATTGACAGTCAACTGAAAAAGCTAAACGCTAACCTTTTATATTAGCCACCAGCACAGTGAACAGCTAAGAGCAGTCAAACGGGTAGAGACCTCCACCTAGTAAACCCACGCATGTCCCCAAACCTTTAAGTGTGGTTTCTGGTCAGCAGAGGGCTGCACAGTGCTGTCCAGTCTGAAGCTGGTAAAGTTCCTACCTCAAGAATCACTGAAACCACTTTGAAAGCAGTAGCTTAAAGTATTAAAACCTTCTAGTGTTGCATTAATGTTTCTAAGTAGAAAGACTGTTTTTGATTTGCTAAAATAATGAAATGTCAGAAATGCTTATATTAGGTCTTGTTGATGTTTCAGGTACGCAGTCACTGTTTGGTATTTCGACTCTAAGGAGCGAGCTGAGGCCAAGAAGCGCTTCAGAGGCCTGACAGGTAACCCAAATAGCCAGCTTGTGTTTAGTAGATCACAGATGTTTCAGTCGATGCCCAAAACAAGTTTATTTTCCGTTGTTGGCGTCAGTGTTTCCCCTACATTCAACAAATCCAGTACTACAGGTGAAATTAGAAAATTGTGCAAAAGTCCATTGATTTCAGTAATTCAACATAAAAGGTGAGACTAATGTACCAGGTGGGAGCTCTGGCAGCTTCCTTACCTCATGCCTGAACAACCTCAGCTGCGGAGGAGCAGCAGCTCTCCTGAGTCCCTCCTGGATTTTTAAGCCCCTCAGCCCACCATATTTCTACGGACCATGAATGTTTTCGAGTCGGTGGTAGCAGATCCAGGTCTAGGTAGACTATTTACTGAATTGCTGCAGGGCTTTCCAAATCTTACTGGTTTAGCTTAATCAGCTGCAGTTTGTCTGATGTTTCTGTTTTCCTTCGTTTTAGCTTCTGGTGAGGAGCAGAGCAGCAACTCCAGCTGATGGGGATACACGCTGCCACCTAGTGGAGGCTTTACCTCATCCCCCTAAACCTCCAAACGGCTGGAACGAAGAGTTGGAGCTGAACAGATTTTTTTTACGTCTTGGACTCAGTTGGAGTTATCTGGATTTTTTACTCTTCCACTTTATAAACTCTGTTTTTCCAACTTGTCCAACTCAGTGTCCCAATACTGAAGAGAGAAACCTTCATGAAGTGCTGCTTTCACCCGAGAAACCACAATTTTTGTCTTGCTCCGACTTCCTCCACTTCTCACTGATGTTTGTGCAATAATCTGTCAAGTTTCTACAAGTTTCTGATGAAGAGGGAGAGTTGGCAGAAAACTCAGGCCTGCACAGAGACTTCTCAAACCTGTGTGATAAATGCTATTTACTGGATGTTTTCCCACAGATATTTAAGGTGGAATGTGGTGTTGCTGCATCTTAAAGATGGGGAGCACAAGGATACAGATCAACTGTGTTGGAAATGTTTTTAACTGAAGCTCAGAAGTGATGAAAGCTATTGTAAATAAATGACTGATGCTGGTTTTGGGACCTTGAACAAGGTTTTCTAAAAATCTGCTTAGAAAATAACTTTTGTAAATATTTAAACAAACGAGTAAAGTTCTAACCAGATGTTTTAAAAGTTTAAACACTTCTTGAATAAAGACTTATGAAGTGAAAGTAAGAACACTTTCTTTGTGATGAAAAAGATACGTCAAATTAATAACTATCAATCTGGTGTACTTTGAGAAAACAGTGTCATGCTGGTAAGAATGTATAATAAAGTTTTCATGGTATTTTAATAACACATAAATGTTATCCTGCCTTTCTATGATCCATGTTGAACACTCACCATGACTAGTAACTGGGATCCACTGAAGCATTAACGTTGAACTGATTTTATTTTTTTTACCAACGTAACAAAGCAGCTGGGCAGAGATCACCATTGAATGCATGAGCATGCAGAACTTGCAAAACTACTAGCCTAGTGAACTAGACCAAATACTTGCTTTGCAAAGTTTAGTCTAGGAACGCTCCATTGGAACCTCAGCAGCTCCTACCAGGACTCTGGCTAGCCAATCACAGCTCTCTAGAGGGGTTTCAAACACATAAAGAGCTGTGATTGGTCCATAATGGTGGGCCAATCATAGTGCTCTATCTGCTTAGTGAACAAATCACAGAGCTTTATCCGCTTTGTGGGCCAATCAGGGCACTCTATATGCCTGGTGGGTGGGATGATGCAACAGAGTGAAACAAGAGTATGTCACATTCATTGTCCAGTGGAATGCAGAGATCACTTGAAAGACAACGGTAGAACCCGCCCCACAACCGAGCCGTCAATGGAGCGTGGCCAGACTAAATAATACATTTATTTAGTCTGGCTTGCCAGGCTACAAAACTACAGGTGCTGGCCATAAAACTAGAATTTCATGGCAACATTGATTTATTTCAACTCGCCTCTGTCAGTGCGCCCCAGGGCAGCTGTGGCTACATCGTAGCTCATCACCATCAGTGTGTGAATGTTTGTGTGAATGGATTCCAAAGCGCTGTAGTGTAAAGCGCTTTGGAGTCCTTACTCTGAGAGGCGCTGTACAAGTGCGGGTCATTATTTCAGTATATCAATTCAAAAAGTGAAACTTGTATATTTGATTACTTCAGTACACAGAAACTGATATTTTTCAAATGTTTATCTCTTTAATTTCAATTATAACTGGCATCTAATGAAAATCCTAAATTCAGAATCTCAGAATATTATCAAAAGGTTAAATATTGAAGACTCCCAGTGCCACACTCTATCCAGCTATTTAACTAAAAACACCTGCAAAAGCCTTTACATTGTCTCTCAGTCTAGTTCTGTAGACTACACAATCTGCTGATTTGACACCTTGCACAAGGAGAGCAAGACACGAAAGGTCGTTGCTAATGAGGCTGGCTGTACACGGAGCTCTATGTCCAAGCACAATAATAGAGAGGTGAAGGGAGGGGGAATATGTGGTAGTAAAAGTGTGCAAGTAACAGGGATAACCACACTGGAGAGGATTGGGAAATTAAACCCATTCAGAAATGTGGGGGAGATTCATAAAGAGTGGACTGCAGCTGGAGTCAGTGCTTCAAGATCCACCACACACAGACGTACAGTAGATGGTTTCAGCTCTCGCAGTCCTTGTGTCGTCACTCTTCAACAAGAGACAGCATCAGAAGCGTCTCACCTGGGCTAGAGGCAAAAAGGACTGGACTGCTGCTGAGTGGTCAAAGGTTAGGTTCTCTGATTAAAGTAAATTTTGCAATTTCTTTGGAAATCAAGGTCCCAGAATCTGGAGGAAGAGAGGGGAGGTACAGAATCCATGATGCTTGAGGTCCAGTGTAACGTTTCCACAGTCAGTGTTGGTTTGGGGTGCCATGTCATCTGCTGGTGTTGGTCCATTGTGTTTTCTGAGGTCCAAGGTCAACGTAGCTGTCTACCAGGAAGTTTTAGGGCACATCATGTTTCCTGCTGCTGACCAACTCTATGGAGATGCAGATTTTATCTTCCAACAGGACTTGGCACTTGCACACAGGTTGAACGTAACATGTTTCACAGTAGTGGGAGAAATAGCAAAGGATATGTTATCATAGAAAGGAGAAAACTCTACAACAGACCTAGGTCAGAGGAATACAGCTGTATTCATCTGGGTCCAAGTAATATAGAGAGACCTCATCAGCGTGGACCACGGCACCATGAGGGACTGACACCCACAGAGTTTGGGATGGCAGTTCAAACCGCATGGACACGTTGTGGTGATCCAAGAAAGCGTTGGCTTCAAGCGCGGGGGTATTGAGTAACCAGCGCCAACCAAGGATAACTGCCGTAGTCTGGAACACGTAGATCGGGGTGTAACTGTCAGGACATTTAGAATCTCTCGCCATCTCACCTATACCACACACACCTGTGGCTTTGTTGCACAGAAAAGGGGACACAGGTACGAGGTGAAGGCCTTGAGTGAGAGAACATGATGCAGATCTGGTACTAGACGGACGTCTGGCGTGTCGTCATGGAATGTGAGCAACGGCGGCGTATGCAATTTGACATGAGTGTCATCCACCCAGTTACCAACATTGACCATGTCTTTCAGTCTGTAGATCTCCCCTGGGGACACGATTGGTAAGTTGATGATGAATGCACTGCCCAAAGAGAAAGCTAGGTGAGTCTGAAGGGCAATCACAGTTTAGCCCTACTGAGCATGTCTCAGACCACGTACAGAGACACTAGGTATGGAGAGATTCTGCCCATGAGGAAGGCATCTACAGAAGCACTTACGTCCTGACTGTAGTCAGCATCTGAATGTGAGCATAATCCCTAACTCCCTGACGTGGGTACCAGAAATTTCAGAATTGGCAATTGCGAATTTCTGGATCTGGAGTAGCATGCAGGAGATGTCGGGTTTAGAGTGCCACACCATCGTGCAAGTCCACCTTTTGAAGGCTTGTGGCTGGGATGCACTCTGGACAGCCGTGGGACAATGACCCGATGCAGCCAGAAAGAACGGCGTCAGCCTGTAGTGGTACAGGGTGACCATCTACCCCCCTTTGGTAGGTGAGGGACCCACTGCAGAGTGAGGGGTCTCCAGTGCCGACTGTAATGGTGTAGGATTAGTGAGTCCATCATCCCCCCGTTTGGTAGGTGGTGTTCCCACCACAGGGCACGGGGCCTCTGGTGGAGTGTCAGTGTGACTTTCAACCCCCCCTCAGTAGGTGGTGGTCCCACCTCAGGGTGAGAGTTATTAGGTGCAGAGATGATGTAGGCACTAGGGTGGCCACTGACTAGAGAAACACTAAACTGACTGGCCACCTGGGCAGCGCTGTTGTTGTGAACAACACCTAAGGCAGAAATAAGGTCTTGGGGGAGCTCCATGGGCAGCGGTTGAGTCAACCAGGCACAGAGCTACCACCCACAGATGTTAACAATATGCATAAATAGGAAGAATGATGTCCACGTGGCAGGGGTGAGATGGTGCTCACTCCTCACCCCTGCCACGTGGACCCAAGGGATAAACCATCAACCCTGTTCAATGGTCAACTTTCCTCATGGGGTCACACCCATTAGGACAGTGGGAGGGTCATAGAGACTCAATATTGACCACAACCAAGTCGTGGTGACTTTCGGTACCCCTCACCTGCTGGTGAGGGAACAGCCCCCACTGCCAAGACCGAGGTGGTGTCGGGAGACTTACCTGATGTTTTAGTCCTCCTGAAGATATTACCCGCCATTTTCCTGAGATCACTCATGAAGGTGAGTTCAATGTCCACAGTGCCCATAGGGAAGCTGTACTGAGCATGTAAATTCTTAAGGAAAAGTTCTTTTATTCATTTAGTTTATTATGTGAAGTGCCTTGAGTGACTCTTGTCATGATTTGGCACTATATAAATAAAATTGAATTGAATTGAATTTGAAATCTTTGTCCTCCTCCATCCCCAGCATACATTCAGAGCCGAAGTACACATCGAAAAGCTGAAGATAGAAGAAGAAGAAAGAAAATATCATTTCTATAGCTCCTCTCAAGATAAAAATCCTGAGGTGCTTCACAAAAACAAAAAATGTAAAAATATAAAAAAAACATTTAGAAAATGTTTAAAAATATATTTAAAATGAGCAAAAATAGACAATTGTGATTAAAAAAATGTTAAGAAAGAGAGAGAGTGAACAGGAAAGAGGGAAATCAGTGGATCTTGAGGAAGGTGGAATAGGAGGGGAGAGCAGAATAAAGAGAGAGAGGTGAAGAAGGTCATACAAAAGCCAGCCTGAACAAGTGAGTCTTCAGCTGCTTTTTGAAGGAGACCACTGAGTCCACTAACCTCAGGCTCAGGGGAAGAGAGGTCCAGAGTCTGGGGGCCACAGCAGCAGATGATCTGTCACCTTTGACCTTTAGCCTGGTGCTGCACAACCAGTAGGCTTTGATCACTGGACCTCAGGGACCTGCTGGGGGTGTAGGGACTAAGAAGATCACCAATGGAAGATGGTGCTTGTCCATGTAAGGCCCTATAGACCAGAACCAGGATCTTGAAATGAACCCTGAAGTTGACTGGCAGCCAGTGAAGCTGGAGGAGAAGCGGGGTGATGTGGGTGTGTTTGGAGGACTTGGTCAGAAGCCGAGCACAGGCGTTCTGAACCACCTGTAGACGGTTCAGGGAGGTTCTGCTCAGACACGTGAAAAGAGAGTTACAGTAGTCTAAAGCCTGATTTATGCTTCTCCGTCTGTGTCAGTGCGGAGATACGCAACGCCATTATCCGTCCTTGCGTAGGGCTCCGGCAGGCACGCAAGTATGTACGGAGTCGAGCCCACTTTTTTAAACATCTGTAGAACGAGACGGATGTTGGGGTTATTAGGAGCGAACAATTCGTAAGCTTTAACTTACTTTTGGATTCTTCAATAAATTCTGTAAATATGGGAATATTTACTGATTTATTAATTAATTAAGATATTCTTAGATATACGGGGCACCATTCCCCTTTAACCGGGGAAACATTGAATCCAAAACTCTTATCAGTCTTTCTTGAAGTTCGTAGAATCCTTGGAGCAGAGACTTCTCTTCGACACAACAAAGCTACTGGAGACGAAAATCTGAATTTTATAACGTTTAATTAACAATTTGTCAAATGAATAAACAGTGGCATAAATGAATAATAACCATGTGATATAATAAAAGGATGTACATTCAAAATAATGTTCAAGGTGTTTTGTGTGTATGTATGTGTGTGTGTGTTTCTAAAATGGAGTCTGTATGCAAGATGGCTGACCCCTTTGTCTGGCTAAAGTGTGAGTGGCA